ATGAAATTTGGGCATTCGTGAATGTTGGTTTTAGTATGTGAAGGTCGTCACAGAAGTAAGAAAATTTCTTCAGCTGACCTTAAATTTCAGCGTCCTAGCTTCTCCACTTGCTGAGTTGAAAGTAAGTGACAAAATGCATTCTGCCCCTAATACACACACATACATACATATACACACACATACACACACACACACACACACATAACTTCTGGACAATACGCTTTTTTGCATTCATATAAATACGCCAAAACGCATAAAACTTAGAAAAACTGAGTGATAAGATGAATAAAACAAATTTTTGTGCTCATTTCCATCATCTTGCCGAAAATAGCTAATTTTCCTTTCCCTCTCCACCAGTCCCTGCGCCCACTAGGTACAGTTATCTCACGCCGTGAAAACTGCTGTCATGTTTCACATTTATTAAGAGCAGACAGAAACTTACTTCGATGTCATTGAGCGGATTTTGGGTGTTTGTAGTTGTAGTACTTGGCGAAAATAAAGTGTTTGGCCGAGACCCGAATGCGGTCCCGCTAGAAAACATTGCAGAATCCGATTATAATCCTGTAAAATTCTTCTCAGTAACGCTACTTTACCGCAAAACAGACGTAGGATTTTGACCAGTACTTGCCACTTTGATGGTCAAATCTTTTGTCTCAGGTAACTAACTTTTCTAAGCGAGTCAGTGACCGGTGCTGCAAAACCTTTCTTATTAATCTGCCGGCTCATGTCCATGTCTTCCAAATCCCTATCCTGGACGCTTTGAAACGACTGCATGCAGAATTCCCACAAACCACAGATTCCCAGACATCCAGTTAGCCAACTAATTATCTTTGGAAGCCAACAGGCAGTGATTTTGCCATTAAGTCATACTTAATTTAAGCACTGCAGAGTTGAAGAACTGCGGGGAAAGGGAAGACGAAGGGGGGGGGGGAAGGGAGAAGGGAGGAGAACAAAAGAAGAGAGAACTCAGAAGCCCCGAAATGCATGTTCAGTATATAGTTCATATGAGTATGCAAGAAGATTTGTGCAAGAGACTGGCTTTCCTGGTTCCCAAGTTAGCAATTTTCCCGCTAAAACTTTCATACGCGAGTACCTCGCATACCTGGGGGCTGAACTTGAAATCTTTAGCTAGTACATGCGCAGGGAATATCCCTAAAAAGTTTCAGCCTTAGTAAAATACACTATTATGTCGGATAAAAAAAAGAAAAGTGAAAAGGATAGCGCTCGCTGTAAAAAACAACTGAGTTGTCTGGCTGTCGTTTCATTCAGTCATGAAATGTCCATTTAAGGCATACAGTTCGGATGCATTCAAATTCAAATACTTTTTTCAATCACCCAATTAAAATACACAAACTATTCAGTTCCAAAAAAAATATCCAGTGAAATGATTATAGTCAATAATCTTTAGGACAAAAGAAAAAAAAGAAAAAACGATGCCGTGAGCTGAAATACTGCACAGCAACGTTGCTGAAGTAGTTCGAAAATGCATTAAAATATAAAAGAGAATGAAACAGTCCATTTTGCACTTCAATCATGTAAGAAAGGCACACAATAAGCATTGTACAACGACAGTAAGACTGCGTCAAGAAAAAAGTACGAAATATGAAACAACGATAAGTGATAATGGAATGATTAAGTGATCAAAATGAATGAGGTTGGAAAACCACAAAAAAAAGAGGGAACGAAAGAGGGCAACAATATGGCGGCAGTGGTACTCAACTTTCTCCAGTTCCCACAGAGGCTGTTTCTGGAACCTAGGGAAATTAAGAGTGCAGTGGCATCACAGGACTAATTCTTGATGCTTAAGGAAATCCAAAAAAAAGGCTCGAGAAAGTGTTCTGGAAAATTTACGAGGAATAAGGTTTAAGATTCAGATATCATTGCGTGCACCAAATTTGGAAGAATAAGAGACAGCCTTCCGACCTGGAAAAACCAAGATCACAAAGGTTTTCGTATTGTAAATAATCAAAACCGAAATTCAAGATGTACAGCTCAAAGAAATACACTCGGAAGGCACAGTGTGTAAGGGATTTTTCATATCATACAATGCCCACTGGAGTTGCCTCACCTGAAATTACAGATGTATCCTCAACCTGAAAATTACCCTGATAAAAGAAAAAACTGATATTA